CAATATGTACAAATTTAGGATGGATTTGTATGGTTAACTCCTGGATATGGATATTTAAGTTGTTCAGCTCCTTTATCTTGAGAACAATAAAACCATTCTCAACTAGAGTTTCTTAATAGCACTAGAATGTTAGGGGAAATACCTATCATCAGTGTAATTCTGTTATAACCTTAAAAGGTTCTGATTGGTTTGGGACAGACTGGGATAGAAGACCTGGAATTTATTGGGTAGCTCTTCATGGAATACAATGGCTGTGTGGTACGAATCTCTTTGGCTACCCTGAGGTTGAGTAGGGAGAAATACTCTTGCATATCCATGGGCTAAAGGATGTTTTTGTCCTCTATTACTAACCTCTTTTTTAGGAAGTACTGTGGACTAGGTCTGTTTTCCATTGGTATGATCGCTTAGCAGATATTTTTACACTTTCCTTAGAAATTAAAGATATTATTGGTCATACAGAAACTTTAAGTTCACTCAAGCAGCCCTCAATGACAGTCAACTGAGTTTAACTTTGATAAATACTGAAATGTCTTCAATGAGAAGAGCTTTCTTATAAAATTGGATAGTATTAGATATTATCACTGCATCTCAAGATGTTTTGTTTATATACCTGATGAATCCAGAAATGTGACCTCTCTTCCGGGACGTGTGCAGAAACCAATAAAATCCCTGAGTAACCCCACTCCAGCTCTTGGGGTTCCTGGGACACAGATCAAAAATATTGTTCAGTCTCGAGGTCCAGGATGGCAGTGTAAATGGACACTGAGCTCACCTTCTCACCAGAATACACCAAATATACACCTATATTTAGAGCATATCCTCCTGAGAGCCAACTGTTAGACAACTGAATAGCCTTTGCACAAGAAGCAAGAAAGGGAGTGAATAAAGAAGGCTGGGGAATCACGAGAGCCCTCTAGGAGACGAGGGAACAACCCAGGACTAGAGAGACTGGTGAATGCCATTGTTTCGTTTCCTCTGAACTTGGATAGTGGGCAGGAGCTTGATCCAGGTTCTCTGGCTAACCTGTAGGGTGCTATAGCAGCCACCCTTACTGGAGCTAGACCCAGCAGAAACAGGAGATCCCCACAGCATGCATACAAAAGGCCCCTCCACCAGGAGACTGACCCAATATGGTGCTGCTTTGCCCTCCCACTGGGCTGTGCACACAAGGGGCTCCTCCACCCGAAGAGAGTGTGGAGCCAACAAATTGCTGAGGTTTCCCACCTGCAGGTCTGTCCTGTCCAGAGAAAGTGTGGAGACAGTGGTGTACTACTGGTGTTCACATGGGGGCCTTCCCTCCAAGAAAGAATGTGGAGCTAATAAAATGCTGTGGTACCTGTACGCAAGGCTGCCTGGTCTGGAGAAAGTGCAGAGAGTGGGGCATTGCTGAATGTGCATGTGCAAGCCGAACTAGCTAAGTGCTGAGGTGTGTGTACATGGGCTTGCCCCATCTGCAGAGAGGGCAGAGTTGGTGGAATGTTGAGATGCAAGCATGCAAAGCAATCCTGCTCAGACCCAGCTCTTGTGATTCCCCAGCCTTCTCTACTCAGTCCCTTTCTTGCTTCTTGTGCAAAGACTATTCAGTTGGCTCACAGTTATCTCTCAGGAGATTTTCTTCTAAATATAGGTGTATATTTGGTATATTCTTGTGAGAAGGTGAGCTCAGTGTCCACCTATATTCGCCATCTTGGACCTCGAGACTATATGATATTTTTGATCTAAGTTTCCCAGGAACCCCAAGAGCAATGATAATTCTTCCAAGCCATGACCCAGCTCTGATTACAGTTAAAACAACAGGGCATGCCAAGAGTACATGAAGCAGCCCGTTTACACTAGGCAACTCCACCCAGATTAGAAGGAAAAGGAAGCATGCACACATGCGCACACCAGGTTAGGCCACAAAATGAGCCTCAATAAATTCAAGAAGATTGAAATTATATTGAGTGTATTTTCTGATCACAATAACAAGAAATTAGAAATCAAATACAAAGAAAAAAATTGGAAAAAACACAAATATGTGCAGATCAAACAACATGCTTCTAAACAACCAATAGATCAAAGAGGAAATCCACAAAGATATCAAAAACTACCTTGAGACAAATAAAAATGAAAACACTTTACGAAATTTATGAGATGCAGCAAAAGCAGTTACAAGAAGAAAGTTTATAGCTATACAGGCTTATGTCAAGAAACAGGAAAAATCTTAAATAAACAATCTAAATTTACAACTAAGGAAACTAGAAAAAGAGGAACAAACAAAACCCAAAGTAAGTAGAAGGAAAGAAATAATAAAGATCAAAGAGAAAAATAAATAACATAAAAAATAGAAAAGCAACATAAAAGATTAATGAAACAAAGAGCTGGTTCTTCGAAAGGATAAATAAAATTGACACATCTCTAGCAAGACCTATCAAGCAGAAGAGAGAACACAAGTGAATAAAAACAGAAAAGAAAGAGAAGAGATTACAACCAACACCACAGACATATAAAGGATCATTAAAGAATACTTAGAACAGGTATATGCCACCAAATTTGACAATCTAGAATAAATGAATAAATTTTTAGAAACATACGACCTTCCAGGACTAAAGCAGGAAGAAACAGAGAACTGAAAAGACTAATTACTGGCAATGAAATTGAAGCAGTAATAGAAAAAACTCCCAACAAACAGAAGTCCAGGACCAGATGCTTCACAGGTGAATTTTTTTTTTTTAATGCCAGTTAATTTTTTTCCATACTATATATACATAATTTTTTAAAACATTTTATTTTTTATTTTCTCCCTCCTCCCTCCCTTCTGGTAACCACCATAGGTAAATTCTATCAAATATTTAAAGAATTATTACCTATCCTTCTGAAAGGTTTCCAAAAATTTGAAGAAGGAATGCTTACAAACTTATTGTATGAGGCCAACATTACACTGATACTCAAACCAGACAAAGACTACGAAAAAAGAGAACTTCTGGCCAATATCCCTGATGAACATAGATGTAAAAATTCTTGACAAAATACTAGGAAACCTAATTTAACAGTACATTAAAAAGATTATATACCATGATCAAGTGGGATTTACACCAACGGTGCAAAGGTGGTTCAACATCTGCAAAACAATGTGATTCATCACATCAACAAAACCAAGGATAAGAATCATATGATTATCTCAATAGATGCAGAAGTAGTATTTAACAAGACTCAACACTTTTTAATGATAAAAACTCTCAAAAAAGTGGGCATAGAAGGAACTTACCTCAATTCGACAAAGGCTATATATGACAAGCCCATAGCTAACATCACACACACACACACACACAGGAATATGATGCAATAAAAAATAATGAAATCTTGCTATTTTCATCAAGATGGATGAATCTATAGGGTATTATTCTATATGAAATAAATCAGGCAAAAAAGAATACCATATGATTTCATTATGTGGCATCTAAAAAAAATAAAATGAACAAACAAAACAAAAAGAGACTCAGAAAGAGACCAATGGGATGGTTACAAGAGGGGCGGGAGTGGGGGGAAAAAGCGAAAGGGAATATAGTTGATAATACTGAGATAAGTCTGTACAGTGACAGATGATTGCTAGGATTAGTGAGGTAATCATATTGTCAGATATAAAAATGTCGACTCACTATACTGTACACCTGAAACTAATATAACCAATATAGTATTGTATACCAACTATACATAAACTTTTAAAAAATATTTTTCAAATTGAGATGATTATTTTCTTGGAAATATTTATTATCATTTATAAGATTTATGTATGCTGTACTAACACTAAAAACCAAGGCTTGTGTCAGTTCGTGCTGTAATACTGAGTGCAATTATCCTTTAATTGAATATGACATATAAAAATAATCGGTCCTTTCCTAATGCTTTACCCTAAAGTTGGCACAAATATTGGCTAGTTATAAGACCCATAGATGACAAGTGTGTCTCTAATTGATATGCTCCCTTTGAGGAATATGACTGACCCATAGATGGCAAGTGTGTCTCTAATCGATATGCCCCCTTTGAGGAATATGACTGACCGTTGTTGTCACCCTGACAATGAGGGACTTTAAAAGGGAAATAAGGAAGGAGAGAGTGAAGATAGGAAATATATAAAATGGAGTCATTTTAACTAAGCTGCTAAAATTATTAACATTTTGAAGATTAAGGCATGAGGAAAGACTATTCTTGTAACTAGCCTGGGAACTTAACTTTTTTGAACTTTCCAGTGTTGTGTCAATGTGTCAATATACATCTAGACCTCCAGAAAACCCTCCAATTACCCACTGAATGACTGACAAGTACATCTACCTGACATCCATTATCTGGACCAATGGATGTGACCAGACCTCCTGGTGCTCATCTTCAGGACCACTTGGCATCCGTCGTCCTCCCTGCCTGTCAGCTGACTGACAATTATCCTGGACAAATCCTAGGGCTAAGAATGTAAGGCTGAAAATTCTCAAGAATGTACTTTTTAAGAACTTTTAACTCTTCTTTCTTCTTTAGAACACTTATAGGTTTTTGCCAAGCCGTGTTTCCAGTTTACAAAGTCTAAGATCTTGACTAAATCTCTATCATTTATTTCTAACAAAACTTCCAGACTCTTTGAGTTCCTTTGACAATAGCCAATACAACTGAAGAAGGCATATTACTAACATCACAAAATTAACACCCAATAAAATACAGGTGAAAATGTAAAAAAGATATTTTTTAAATCCTTTAAAAGAAAATAATGGTGAATGTTTTAATAATCTTGAGATGAGGAAAAACGTTTCAAAAAATGATACCCACCCACGCCTGCACAAAAATAAATTGCAGAAGCTATTAGGGAAAAACACGTTTATATCCTTGGATCAGGGGAGGCCAGCCTATCAAAGAAGGCTAAGGGCGCTGCTGGGGGGCTCCGCGTCCAGCAGGGGCAGCTTCGGACCCGGCACGCTCGGCCCCGCCCACCCTTCCCTTCGCCCACAGCTTGGTCCCTGGAGGGCCGCACTCACCAGCCTTCACATACAAAGGGCGCCCCGGACAGATCCGCCCCCTGACACCGCCTCCACCGCCGCCGCCGCCGCCGCCGCCAGTCCAGACTGAGTCGGGCGAGGGTGAGTGCCCCAATGCCAGAGCCAATGACGCCCAGTGACTGTGCCCGTGAGGCTGTACCAGGCCTCGGCCTCAAGTGGGTTTCAAAGAAAACCCTGCAATGGCGACTGCGCCGTGCTGGCTTTGGCTCGCCAATGCGCATGCGCCAGTGGCGCCCTGGGCCGACCGCTTCCCACCTGCACCGGAACTCCCAGCTCGCTCCTTGTCTACTTTTCACCAGGACTCGCTAACCCGGCGAAACCTGGGTCTCTGTCCCCGGCCCTCACAGAATTTTGTTCAGCGAGGATCCAGAAGATGGTGGTGAGGACTCGCCCATAGTCCTTGCCAGTCAGAAACTTTGGACTGCCCAGCTCTCCCGCAGTGTCGCTGCTTCGTCTCCAAGGCGACAAGCACAAGCCGTTGTTCTCCTCAGTCTTGGAATACCGCCCCCAATGCCCCCACCCCTTGTTATATTGACGAAACTCAAAATATAATAATAGTTGAATGCAATTTTTTTTTTGTAATACAAGTCTACTGATGAGAACAATGAAATTCTTTTAATGGGGATACCATTTTGCTTATTTGGGATTCAAAGGTAGTTCAACACTAAAACAGGTTGGGAAGGTTCGTCTGTTAATGCTAGTCTGTAATGAAATCTTACATATTTCCATCTTTGAAACTTCGTAGATACTGCTAAATACTGATATCCATAGGCATACGATTTAAATGGAACAAAGTTATTGTTTGGAAGGCATTTATAGTTTCTCGATATTTGCCTTTAGCTTGTGAATAAATGGCAGATTAATCACTTCTAAATGAAGGTTAAGTAACAACTCAACTGCATACTACATGGATTTTGAAACACAGAAATGTCGTTTGCACTTCCACAAAGGTCTGAAAATGCTACTGGAACAATAGCGCTTGGAAAATGTACCCTCTGCTGATTTTGCATGAGAATAGGGATCTTCTTGTTTTAACTTTTGACAGCACTGCAAGTGTATAGCAGCTTGACATTACTTGTGATTCAAACAATGTTGTCATAAAATGACGTTACTGCAGTACAAGTTATATACTATAAGCTCTCTTTTACCTTGTAATTTGAGGTTGAATTCATTAAGATACATTATAAAGTTTGCAGCAAAAGCTGATTTCCAATGCCACTCAGTGATTGAAGGCAGTTCTTCTCATTTAGAAAAATTTAAATCTCAGTCCTAAGGTCAAATGTTAAAACTTCATCACTGTCAATCCATCAAACTGCTATGTGATAGAACACATCAGTATATTTAATTTCTATTTTTGACAAAGATTTTTTGAAACTAACAATGGTTAAGTTTATATTACTGGTTAAGTTTATATCATGTTGATATTACTGGTTCAATAACCCATGGTAGATTCAAATATTTTCCACAAAGTACCTGCTTAGCAAATTCCAGTTCATGTAGTAATAAATTCTGGTTTTCTCAACTTCTTTGAAAATATATTCTCCTGAAATTGTACACAGACTATTTATAAAAACGAATTCTTCACTCACTGCAAAATTTGCATTGACTCCTGACTAAACAAACAGTTGATCAGTATCCATAACATGTTTAGTCATCAGGAGACAAGCAAACTTACTTCAGTTACAGACTGATTTCCATTTTTTATTTTTGTGAAGAAATTCCGATGTGATAATATATTTCGTTTAGAATTTTCTAATTTTTCTGACCATTGCTTTCTAACAGTTATCATGGCAATATCTGGCCTGTATTGAGCTTGCCTATAGGATTCAAAGTGAGCAGATGGTTTGGTAGATTTCTTGTAGGTTACAATTAACATGCTAGTTCGTTCTGTAAGGCAAAAATTCAGTTACAGTGTCATTCACCTGAGTCCTCTGTTTAGAGACTTGCAAAGCCAAAGTTATGATGCCAGCAGGGCTATGTTTTATTCTGATAGCTCTGGGGATGAATATACTTTCAGTCTCATTCAGATTATTGACTGAATTCAGTTACCTGTGGTTGTAGGACTGAGGTCTCCATTTCCTTGCTCTGTCATCAGGAGTGAGTCTTTGCCCCTAGAGGCTGCCTGTATTCCTTCTCCTGCTTTCCATGTGGCTCCCCTCAAGCAGTGGTGGGTTGAGACCCTTTCATGCTTTGACTCTCTCTGACTGCCTCTTCTGTTGCATCTCACCAAGCCAGTTCTGGTGTTTGTGAAAAGACCAGGGCAATTTGTGGTTTCTAAAGGAGGATGGGGTGGAGACTCAGCTTTTTGATCTAGAAGTCTCACACCAAGGTAGGAACCAAAGAAAAGATCCCAGGTTATTTGCAGCAGTGAGCACCTACAAAAATCATGAAAGTGCCTACAGAGTTGGGGGAGGGCTGTAAAATCAAGAGTTAACACTTCTTGTTGTTTTTCAATTTGAAATCCTGGAGTTTCTTGTCTTATTCCTGTTAAGGTTCAAGTTCTTTAGAGGCCGAGACTGGGACTTGGTACTAATGTCTGCTACAAAGCTGGGAATAGCATAATCAGCCTTAGAAGGTGATTGTGAAAAAAATAAATAAAAATACACACTTCCAGATAATTGGGCAAAATGGCATAGATGATAGAAACTTTGCTCATTCCATCTTGCAGACCACATCAAAGTTGAGAAAGGAACACGGAGCCAATAGCAAACAAAGTCACCTGGAGGTCTAGATGAGCAGAAGCCCTACAACTCAGGAGAGAAATAAGATATTACCCTGCAACAACTGGAGGTAGGAAGGGGCAAAGACACAAGGCTGCCTGGTCCCTAGCAGTTGAGTGGGAAAGAGGCTACGTCAGCAGCAGCCGGCAGCTGCAGAAGCCTCTTAAAGGGGCTATGTCCATAACTGGACTTTGGTGTTGGTAGACCTGCTCGTTCTGAGCACCGGCACTGGGTCAGCAGCTCGGGGGTCACCAGGACTTATAGGGGAACACTGAGTTGTTGGAGTGAGGGCCAAGGTGAAGCTTTCTACTGGGCAGAAGTACTGTGGTATCTTTTGCTCCTCAGTTGAGTCCTGCCCCATCCCAGTGTGCAGAACTCAGCACTGCCGTACCTGAGCCGTCATCAGACTGCATAACAAGTGTCGCTCTGCTCAGAGGATTCCCTGAAATTCTATCTCCCCCACTTGTGGCCCCATCTAAGCCACATCCAGTTGTGTCCATGTCAAGTCCTTTGCCATTTGCTGAGCAGTGCCAAGACTCACACAGTTGGCAGGTGGCCTCGGTTTCTGGTGTGGCTTCTTAAGGCAACAATAAGCACAGCATCTGTGGGTTGATTGCGGAATCTTAACAGGTAAGCCCGAAGGTGCACAGGCTGGGGCTAAACTTGGCCTGCAGCTGAACCCCTCTGAGGACTATACTGCTGGACACCTACTACACAAAGCTATGCTAATAAGATCGGGAGACTAGGGGCTTAATCAGTACATAGAAACACACAGTAAGGCAGCCAAACTGGGAAGACGAAGAAGCAGAAACCATATGAAAGAAAAGAACAGAGATCCAGGAAAAATGGAGTCAAGCAATCTCACATATGCAGAGTTCAAAACATTGGTTATAAAGATGCTCAATGAACTTCAGGGAAGTGTAGATGAATTCAGTGAGAATGTTAACAAAGAGATAAAAACCATAAAGATGGAAATGGAAATTATAAAAGGGAAACTGTCGGAAATGAAGAATATATTTTCTGAGATGAAGAGTATATTAGAGGGAATCAACATGGTGGAGGAAGAAGAGTATCGAAACACCAATATAAGGAATGGGGAAGCCAAGGATACTCAATCAGTACAGCAATAAAAAAGCAGCCAAGACTATAATAATAATTTAAAGAGGCTATGGGACATAGTTAAATGTAAAAATATCTGTGTCATAGAGGTACCTGAAGGAAAACAAGACGCTGAAGAGCTATTTAAAAAATAATGATGAAAAACTTCCCTAACCTGGTAAAAGAAATAGACATACAAGCCCAGGAAGCTCAGAGAGTCCCTAAAAATAGGAACTCAAAGAGGCCCACACCAAGACACATTATAACTAAATTTTAAGAATTAAATACAAAAAGATTCTTAAAAGCAGCAAGAGAAAAGCAGTTAGTTACCTACAATGGAGCACCCATAAGACTGGCACCTGATTTCTCCAAAGAAACTATGTAGGACAGAAGGGTTTGACACAAAATATTCAACATGATGAAAACCCAGTATATATAATCAAGAATACTTTATCCAGCAAAGCTATCATTTAGAGTTGAAAGACAGATAAAGAGCTTTCCAGACAAAAATAAACTAAAAGAATTCATCACCACCAAGGATATTACAGGATATGTTGGAGGGACTTCTTTAAGAAGAAAAAAACATGTATCAAAAACATGATTTAAGAATGCTAATAACTAATTCCTACCAACAAGTATCTCAAATGGAAAGAAATAAATGCTCCAACCAAAAGACAGAGTGGCTGAATGGATAAGAAAACAAGACCCCTACATATGCTGTCTACAAGAGACTCACTTCCAATTTAAAGACACACACAGACTGAAAGGAAGGGAATATAAAAAGAGATTGCCTTGATGGACCTAGGGGGTATTGTGCTGAATGAAGTAGGTCAGATAGAGAAAGACAAATACTACATGATTTTACATACGTGTGGAATCTAAAGAACAAAATAAACAACAGCAACAACAACAACAAAAATTGAAATAAACTCATAGATACAGAGACCAGTTTGAGGGCTACTAGATGGAAGGGGGATTTGGAGGGATGGTGAAAAAGGGCAAAGAGATTTGAAGTACAAATGGATAGTTACAAAATAGACATGGAGGTATAAAGTATAGCATAAGGAAAATAGTCAACCATGTTGTTATACATATTTAAGGGGGAAGAGAGTTACCTGATTTAGTGAGGTGACCACTTTGTGAGTTATATAGATCTCTAATCACTATGCTGTACAACTGCAACTAATATATTATTGTATGCCAACTATAATTTTTTAAAAACTCAATGAATTGTACAATGTAAATTGAACAACTAGTTGTCTATTATATTTCAATAAAGCTGGGGTGAGGGGGAGTGTACACTTCCAAAGATCTGGGATATAGTTTCTCAAGTATCTTAAAAGTAAAAAACAACTCACTAGTAAATACTTATAATTTGGCATTAATTGGCATGAGGAAACTGTGAGAATGGGCATCAGAAAAGATTAAGATGTAATACTATAAAATATTATTCTTAAAAAAAAAGTAAGTACTGATACATGCGAC